CTTTTTACCGTACGTTACACGCCAAAACTACCGACTCGTACTCTCTCCCCTAACCCCTAAACCCACGTTACTCCTCTCTCTCTCTCTCTCTCTCTCTCTCTCTTACAACCTCATACCCCAAGCTCACCACCCTTCTCTCTCTGCCCATCAGTCATTCTCTTGTCAAGCCAAACTTGCTGCTTTTCTCTCAGTCAACCCATCTCTTCTCTTGTCCTGTCAAACAATCCCTCTTGCCCCCACTCTCTATCATGTCAGAGGAACCTTTTCAGTCAAATATTTACACACTATCCTAACCTGGCACGATGCTCCTTATGCTTTCTCTCATAGGGTCTTAGAGCATCACTGAACCACTCAAAACTCACGCCTTTGGATGGTTTGTAACCTTAGGAGCTCACCATTGATCACATCATAAATAGAGGTACGCTCAACCCCAACATTTGTATCATGTGCAAAATTGATGATGAAACAGTCCAACATCTATTCTTGCATTTCAGAACTGCTTTTTGATGTGGTCTCACTACTTAAACCTATTCAGTGTCCAATGTGTGGCTTGGGAAACACTGGAAGATCTGCTCTCCTGATGGTACACTCCTTGCTTCACAAGGCCGAGCACTGTTTGTGGAGGCTCGCACTAATTCCAATGGTACAGAGACTAATCACTATAAGGTTTCGAATAATGGCAAATCTTTTGCCATTATTAGCAGTCCTGCAGTGATTTTTTGCCACACATGGAGAGAGGCCAATATGATGGAAATCAAGTGGCCAAGGAAGTTGTAAAGAGAATATACACAAATATCTCAATTTTTTACAACAACGAATGTAAAAATAACAGTGAAAAAATAGTTGATGTTACTATAATGCATTGAAAATTAACGTGACAAATCCCACCTAACAACATTTCTATTATTTCACCAAAAAATGATCCTACCAAATTAGAGATGCTTAGATGGGCATCCCACCAACATCAACCTCCCTGGCATCTTCACTCAATTTTTGAGCAAATTAATTTCATGTGCAACCTCCTCCCTCAGGTAACATTCACGCATATCCCAAGAGGAGCCAACACTGAAGCAGACAGGTTGGCCAAGGAAGGAGCTAACTCGCCACAGGTGCACGCCTAGTATCCTCTTAACCCTTTTATCTCTCTCTCTCCCCCTGTCCCTTTCTCATCACCCTTCACCCCTGCCCCCCTCCTCTCTCTCTC